GTGTTCAGTAGACTCTGTACCTACCTTGGCCTGTAGACCGAGGATCTGTTGTGATCGTCCTCTCCAGGAACTGTTTGTGTTCAGTAGACTCTGTACCTACCTTGGCCTGTAGACCGAGGATCTGTTGTGATCGTCCTCTCCAGGACCTGTTTGTGTTCGGTAGACTCTGTACCTACCTTGGCCTGTAGACCGAGGATCTGTTGTGGTCGTCCTCTCCAGGACCTGTTTGTGTTCGGTAGACTCTGTACCTACCTTGGCCTGTAGACCCAGGATCTGTTGTGATCGTCCTCTCCAGGATCTGTTTGTGTTCAGTAGACTCTGTACCTACCTTGGCCTCTAGACCGAGGATCTGTTGTGATCGTCCTCTCCAGGAATTTTTTGTGTTCAGTAGACTCTGTACCTACCTTGGCCTCTAGACCGAGGATCTGTTGTGATCGTCCTCTCCAGGATCTGTTTGTGTTCAGTAGACTCTGTACCTACCTTGGCCTCTAGACCGAGGATCTGTTGTGATCGTCCTCTCCAGGAATTTTTTGTGTTCAGTAGACTCTGTACCTACCTTGGCCTCTAGACCGAGGATCTGTTGTGATCGTCCTCTCCAGGACCTGTTTGTGTTCCGTAGACTCTGTACCTACCTTGGCCTGTAGCCCGAGGTTCTGTTGTGATCATCCTCTCCAGGACCTGTTTGTGTTCAGTAGACTCTGTACCTACCCTGGCCTGTAGACCGAGGATCTGTTGTGATCCTCCTCTCCAGGAACTGTTTGTGTTCAGTAGACTCTGTACCTACCTTGGCCTCTAGACCGAGGATCTGTTGTGATCGTCCTCTCCAGGATCTGTTTGTGTTCAGTAGACTCTGTACCTACCCTGGCCTGTAGACCGAGGATCTGTTGTGATCCTCCTCTCCAGGAACTGTTTGTGTTCAGTAGACTCTGTACCTACCTTGGCCTCTAGACCGAGGATCTGTTGTGATCGTCCTCTCCAGGATCTGTTTGTGTTCAGTAGACTCTGTACCTACCTTGGCCTGTAGAGCGAGGATCTGTTGTGATCGTCCTCTCCAGGATCTGTTTGTGTTCAGTAGACTCTGTACCTACCCTGGCCTGTAGACCGAGGATCTGTTGTGATCCTCCTCTCCAGGAACTGTTTGTGTTCAGTAGACTCTGTACCTACCCTGGCCTGTAGACCGAGGATCTGTTGTGATCGTACTCTCCAGGAACTGTTTGTGTTCAGTAGACTCTGTACCTACCCTGGCCTGTAGACCGAGGATCTGTTGTGATCGTCCTCTCCAGGATCTGTTTGTGTTCAGTAGACTCTGTACCTACCCTGGCCTGTAGACCGAGGATCTGTTGTGATCGTCCTCTCCAGGAACTGTTTGTGTTCAGTAGACTCTGAACATTGACATTGTCACCAATCTCCTGACTCAACACCTACGACAATACAATGTAACTTTAAAAACATGTACAAGTCTAAGGAATGGGCGGGGCCGCCAGGTCTGCCGTCTACTGGTTATACATTTCAATTGATATTATGGTACCATATCTATTTCTACCAAATATATGGTATGTGGATATATTTACATAATATATTATATATATCATTATATATGATCATTTTTGCTTTCAAAAGTCCAGTTCCATTTCAATTTTCTTGGCTTTGAAATACATTCATTATTATTCAATAGCATTTGTAAAATTGGAATTTTTTGGCAGTGTTAAATTTTCACGTTTTTCAATTAGCATGAAAATATCAACACAGAAATATTTATTTATGAATTATATCAAATATATACATGTATATAGATTAATAGAATATGTAGTTTTCAAAACGATTGCCAAAGCGAACATTTTCACACACAGCAATCAATTTAAAGCGTCACAACGTGAACATTTCCTCAAGTGAAAATTTCACTTTTACAGTAATTGTTTTTAGACAGAATGTGTGTTTTAATAAAAGTTACTTGTATCTCAGCATTAAAAGAATGATCTTTACCTTGTTAACTATTTTCAGTTCCTGTTTTAAAGACGAGATCTGGTTCCGATAATCTGACACCTTGGATTCCGTCTGTTTTAGTTTATCTTGGATTGCCTTCACATCGACTTGATCTTCAGACTAAATTGTTAACAAGGGTATTTCATTAAACCCTTTCACCCCTATGTAACTTTAGTAGACTCTACATTGCATTGATATGGATGGGTCCATTATTGTCTACAGTGGCGAAAGGGTTAAATACATTCAAAACATTTATTACGTAAAAAATTCTAATGCTAAACCTTGTACGCCAAAACTCTGCACTGTAAAATAAACTTTAAAATTTTGTACAGTTTAAGTTCGTAAAATTCTTAATTTCCACATCCCCTTTTCTTACCGTACATTTAACTCAAAAGGTGAATTTAAAATGGTGCATCAAATATTAACTTAATACTATAAATATATATATATTTATAATAATGCCAACACCATGACACCAAGACATTGTTTCCTATTGTCTTAATTCTGATGTCAAAATGGATTGGCTGGATATTGATTAAGTTTTATGTACATTTTACTTGTTTTTATATGTAGATCAATATGTGACATTTGAATAGAATAATTGATTATTATTATTATTGAATGATATTACAAGAAGCAAAAACACAAAAATAAGACATGAACGTTTTATGACATGACACGGTGGTCATGAGGTAAAACATTTGTCAACGATAACGACACCTTTTCTTCGGCCTGTAATCTCAGACTGACGGCGGACCCCATCATGGACCGCGCCTCCTGTGGAATACTGGAAATCTGAGAAATAAGGAACAAACCAATACAATAAAGTCACATTCCCTATGGTGTGCATTATTTCTGTTTCCTGTGTACTGAATTTCATGAATTTGCCTTTCTGTACTCATGGGGATATATTTCTGAACATTTTCTTCAGGTTGGTAAGTATGGACTGTAAAAAAGATTCATGAAGCACAGCCAAATAGTGTTTATATGTGATGTTTCGATGACTAGCACGGTATGTAATCTGTCACCTTCATCAGACAAATGACCAATAATGGGTATGTACAATATAACAACTAATTGTACATACCCTTACAGCGTAGCCAAATCGACATCGATTTGTGGTCAACTCGTACATATGTTACACCTTTATGTGCATACGCTTCATTGGTCATTTGTTTGATGAAGCTGAATTCATATATTTGAAAAAAAAAAAGAAAAAAAAAAAGTGACAGAGTATATAGTATACCGTGCTAGTCATCCAAACGTCACATATAAACACTTTTTGGTTGTGCTTCATGAATCTTTTCACAATTCATGGGGATATTGACTTGTGTTTCACTAACATGTAGACACAATGTTATGTAAAAGTTATTGGAAAAATATATCATAGCATGGTACTAAAATTTGCAATCCAGGTTTCATACAAAGTTACATACTATGAACTAAAACAATCTCTCTAGACTCAACAGTTTGTTGGAGCTCAGGCCCAGTTCCGAATATTAAGGTAAAAAATGTACGCAGAAGTACAAACTAATTACCTGATTACTTAGGTCCATACATTTTCTGGCCAATTGTTTACTTTTTGTCCTTTCGACTTCCATTTCTGATGTAAGCTCCCGTACTTTCTTGGACAATTCAACAATTTTGGTAGCAGCGGTCTCATTGGTAAGACCAGAGGCTCCTGGAGATTTCAAGTTAGAGCACATCACAGTATTAATATATATATAAACAAAGTATGAGGAACTATAAATTATAATGGTATCATAACCCCATTGTAATTTTTCTATCTGTTAAATATTACTAATTAGAACAATCAAAATGCTGTATATATACTTTGATCTCATAATAGCCATATTTTATAATATCAAAGTTTTACTTTCTTCACAAACAATGTACGTATCAAAAGTGTCGCAAAGTTTCAAGACCGACTGGTCCCTTTGTCAAGCTATGACAAAGGGACCAGTTGGTCTAGCAAGCTATGACAAAGGGACCAGTTGGTCTTACTTTGAGACACGTTTAATACGTACATTGTTTGTGTAGAAAGTAAAACTTTGATATCACATATTTCCAAACTGATGAATCTTATTGAAGCCATATTTTATGTTTAAGTGGGAAAATGTTCACTGCAGATCATGTAATTTGTAGTTTTGATAATGAGTCTGTAGTAGTGTTACAACTCAGAATTGTTCACCATCATAAAACCAATTAAACCAGTTATCTCGTTACACTGATCAACAATTATAACTATCTAATCACAAACCTGATTTGTCTTCTTCTCTCTTCTTTTTCATATTCCGTAATTCAAAATCTTTTTCACTTAAGAGCTTGTAAACTCGACCATTTTCATCTTTCAATTCCTACAAAATATAAAATCATAATATTTTTGTCTAAGCTATTTCAGAACAAGGTCATTCATAGAAATCAATTTTGGTAAGCACACATTACACATATACTTATGACAAGAGTTGATCAGACACAAATTGTATCATAATAAAACAGGTAAGATGCAACAGCAGGAGTGCACAACTACCATATATAATTATCTATGGACTACTTGTAGTAAATTTCAAGAGAGGACTAGCGTAACTTCATTATTTACTATGAAAATAAAGGTAGGGCTAGAATGACTTTTCAAAGCTGCCTGCTGACTACAGACTAGTACACTAATTATGAAACTATATTTTCCTGAACATCATTTTCCAAATCTAGACATAGATCAACTCAGTTCAAATCACCCTCAATATCCAGGGGTTTTGCTAACTTTCTCTCTCTGCACCCCTGGAATATGTCATAGCAAAATTGAAGGCACACATGTACAGCTAGCTATTTGATTGGTCTCGGGTAAAGAAAACGTGACCAATCACTAGGCTGATACCTGACCTTTTGAAGATTACAGAGGAATGACACCTGACTTCAAAGCTAGTAAATTTTATAGTTACGCAACCGACAGATTCTTTTGATGAACATCAAAGGATAAAACTAGTTCTCTCTCTCATCAACAAGGTGGTGCACACTGAGCCTTCGATTTTACTATGACATATTCCAGGGATGCAGAGAGCGAAAGTAAGCGTAACCCCTGGATATCGAGGACGAGTTCAAATCTGCTACACACATATACATGTATACAATAATATACAATATTTCATACTTACTCTTATTTGCTGGTTTAAATGTTCAACAAGTTCCTCAGATAGGTAGCTACTTCCTTTAGGGACTGGATCAGCAAGCTAAAACAGTTCAACAAAATATGTTAAATAGTTATCCACATTTAGTTGTATAATCTCTATCTATACCAAAACCTGTCTTATCTGACACCCTGAAGGGTCTAAAGTTTTCTTCGATTAGTCAGGATGTCAGATTATACAGGTTTTATTTGATAGCTTTTAAGAAAAGGAGTTACAGCTGTATGTCTGAAATGATGTCGGAATACTCAAGCATCAGATTAAACAAGTTTCACTATACCTGAATAGGCATACAAAATAATGTCTAAACCAGTGTCATTAGTGGAGAGACGCTTCTATAAATACACACCATGTTAATATATGTACAAAAGTTCTTCTTATTCAGATCTTGTGACCGTCATTTCTGAGTATTTCAAGGTTTTATATGTGTACTTAAAATTATTGCAGATATTGAATAAAAGGGGGATAACTCCTTTGAGCTTACTAAGCAACAAATATCTCTACTTCTTTAATTTACAAACTAGGATTGCCACCATTGTAAACCAGGGTTTGGGAAGATAGTTGTGTTTTTCATCAGGGTTTGTGTCTATTATAAATCATGGTTTGCAAATGCAATAAAGCATGGTCTGCTTGTATTATAAATTAGGGGTTGTGTTTAATATAATCAAGGTTTGTGTTTAATATAATCAAGGTTTGTGTTTAAATACTAACTTTATTTATTTTACAACAATTATAAAACGAGTTATTTCAACCTATATTATCACTCTTGTTGGCCCGGATGTTAGCGTACAGGGGTCTTATGTGGGAGGAAACTGGCGTACCAGGAGAAAGCCCACGTGGTTGGGCAGGTGACCCCAACCTTTTCACGTCTGATTTGTTGTGTTTATAATATACCAGGATTGCCAATAGTACCGTTAGTTATATATAAATTTGCAATTATCATAAATAAGTGTTTTTTTTATATGTAATAAATAAGCTTCCGTGTTTAAGATAAATCAGATTTGCATTGAAACCAATATATCCTTTTATAGTGTAAAACACCTGATTCATCTCAAAGAGACCCCATTTATTACTCATAGCAAACCCTGTAAATATTATGATCTACAGATCGGACTTCAGCAGTTTTACCTTTAAATCTAACTGGTCTTCCACACCAAATGTTGGAGGTGCTGCTGGTTTCTGGACGGACGACTTTTCTTTTTGGTCCTGTCGTTGTTTTCTTCGCTGTAACTTTTTCTGCTGCTGTTCCTGTAACAGCTGAAACTGCTGCTTCAGTGTTTCACTTCCTGTATCCTCCATCTTTCTTCCTCAAGTCAGCTGTTCATATGGATGTCTGTGTAATGAAAATCAAACCATCCTTTAAAATAACCATTAAGATATATTGATGTGTATAATAGGTACCCAGTAGGATTGCACTGTTGGAACAACCATAGATCGTACAATGAACACCCATGACCTTGTTAGAAGCTAGTACAATATTGCAGCTATATAATTATGTACAAACATGTTTACTTTTATTCTTTACCAATATAAAGGGAATAACAATGTAACTGTAGTTTTTATTCCAAGGATTATTACGTCAAAATAAATCAAACGGCTTATTAATTATTACGTCAAAATACATCAAACAGCTCTACAGATTTCAAAAAGAAATCCAGGGAAACCTGCCCAATTTTTCCCTAAAACAAAGGGAAGTTTTCCCTTATCCTTGGGGTAATGGGAGTACCTCTTCATTCTTTTGTGTTCTATTTATGTAGATTTACGGGTGAGATACCTGAAGCCATATAATTTTAGTCGTCCCAGTGTATTTAAACTTGTTCAATTGCTCAGTGCTTTTAATGTAAAAGATTTGTGTAATCTTGGTAAATACATAAGATTTGCTTTTAAGAAGCACTTTCAGTCATTATAGTATTACCACATTCTTGTGTGTGTGTGTGTGTGTGTGATACGATTACATACAATTGTCACTCTCCTGTACATCATTACTCTGTTTAACCTGGTAATATGTATTAACATTGTGTTTTGTATCTTATAAGTCGTAAGGCTTTCAGAATAAACTAATTGAATTGAATTAAAAGGAAACAATCAATGACATTAAAAGTTCTACATCCCTACATGAGCAGCTCCTCAGTTTGGTGTCAATGTCAGCCCTCTTGCCATCAAGTTCTTATGCAAGGTAACAGGTAAATCTGAGACATGGGGAGAACAATAAGTTTTAATTACAGGTAGGCTGAACTTCAGAAATGATAATAGCCCCTGGGTCACATTGGCTGTTACCTGTGTCAATGGTGGGGGTATACTCCAATTAGTGATGCACAATATTCCAATATATTTTATCTTGTTTTGTATTTGGTGGCTTAAAAAGTGTAATGTAAATGAAATGTAATGAATACGTATTGAGGGAATAAGTGTTTATTATTTAGTTTTATCAATTTCATACCCCTAAAAAAAAAAAAAAAGGATATATATATAATATATATATCCAAAAAATAAATATCCTTACCCATACACAAAAAAGCTACAAGTTTAACACAGGTAAGTTACCTGTGGAGCAAGTATGAAACAGACTATAACTGGTTTGCCATTGTCTCCCTATATCAACACTTTTCTTTGTTCTATAAAAAGTGGGGGAACTGAGAACACACCATTCCAAGCTCCTACCAAACAATAGGTTACACTTCACCTCTCATTATGTCATTTTTAAGGTCATGTTTATGTCTGTCACTGCTGAATGTAATTATTAATTAGCACAATTGTTTGATATAATTTCTCATATTTCATCTCCTAACACCAACAGCCAGTTGCTTATGGATAAATTATTTTCATTGCAAAACCAGAACATCAACAATTACATTAACAGTTGTGTTGCTTGGTGATATAATCAAGCATAATTACAGGCCCAGCCCTGGTGTGACAGACGTTCAAACGTCTATGGAAATATTCATATCAACGGTAAGTGTTTAACATTATTTCAGCATTTCACCATTTTACAAACACATCCACCTGATGCAAAGTCATTAATTTCTTATACCTCATTACAGCAATTTGTATGAATTACAATTAACAAAACAATGATTTCTGTAAGGTCGAGACATCTACTGTACATGTTTGTATGTAGCTGGTTAATGTATTAGAAGCAACAAATATATACAAGTTTGCTTGAGACATTGAAAAGGGACTGGTGTTGGATATTGTATCCACAACTGATAATATGAATCCACGTACCATCCCCTTTGTACATGGTGTTAACCTGTTAATAGTAACGCCGACTAACTAGCTTTGGCAGGGAATTTCACTTCGGCTCGGTTGTAGAAACTCTCCAAGCAGAGAGTCCCAGAGAAAGCACGTATTCTTTCCACTAGGCCTACTTCCTAGCTTCATTACACATGTTAGATTTACTGTAGGCATATAATTAACCCATTACTTTTTTAAACAGGGGGTGAAATATCCAGGACCATCAGGTTTGGTGACTGTTAACTCGTAACACACTGTTCCATTTTCCCTCCCCTGCACATTTATGAGTCCTAGTAACCTTCGTTAATCTTATCGCATTGCTATAGTACGTGATGTTATTTCTACTGTGGAACAACAACAGCAGAAGCGGATCAAAGGCGGTCTTCATTTTTGGAAATTTAATACCAACTCGCTTCAGAAACGGATTCATCGGAACTAATGTTCTCACATGAATATGAAAAATGGTGTAAATAGTTGATTGCAAAAACGAATAAATTTACAATTCACAAGAACATTTACCTGTAAAATCGTACGCCGATTCAGTGGTTTGGGTTAGCAACACATACCATCATCTTTATCACTAAATCGCTTAACTCTGTCCTATCGATTAGCGCTTTAAAAGCAAACGTTGTCAAGATCCATACAAAGAGGAGAAACGAAGAGGCACCAGGCGGGGAATACAAAATTCGATGCAAATGGTTTCTAGCTGCAGTAGGAAAAACGCAATCAACACTTATTAATCAAATGGTTTGTCACGGGTAGTTCACATTTATTTTTTAAGCGATATTATAATTTAGCTCTTAACGGTTTAAACTTTTTGTTTACTGGGAAAGTTTTTAATTTTATATTAATGAATAAGAATATACGTTAATGTGTGTTGCAATATTTTACATGAAGATTTCTTTCGTGATTTCTTTGGAATTACAGGAAAACGCAAATTAAGTCTAGAATTAGGCATTGATTCTGATGCTGGCGCACAATTAGAATACTGCGATATAGCAGAGACGTATATACTACACTCTGGCTTTATATGTCTCTGGTTAGCCAAGAGAAAATAGGAACGTTAAATTCTACCATTATTGTTTTCTTTGTTTTATTTTGATTTTTTTGATAAATTTGTCATTACTTTAGAAATAAATAAAAAGTGAATATTTAGAAATTGATATCTATTTTTGATGTCTATTGTCGGGCGCACATTTATTTTATTTTATCGATTTGCTCCATTTTAATTATGTTGCTAGTGTCACAGCTGTACAAGTTGTGAAAATTCTCAAAATGATTGACAACTAAATAAAAGTATAAAATATTCTGATCATATTGAAATATCTCCATTACTTGTTTATGGTAGCGCCATGTGGATGGACTTTATCGATATCGATTTGTGTACTGTACGTACAAACATGGAAATAGGTGACTGTATATATTTTTCAACAATTATTTAAAAGGTTTTTGTCAAAGTCATATCAATCACTCAAGTTGGCCCGGATGGAAGCGCACAGACAGTCTTATAATGTGTGAAGAAACCGGAATACCCGGAGGGAACTCACGTGGTCGGGCAGGTGATCCAATCACATTTTCATCAGGTAACCGAACACCGGATGTCTAGGTGAAATGCGCGCGGTGTAGAACTAGGTTGCATGGAAGACGAGGACCTCGGTGATCAGCTCCAGGACCCAATGGTTTCTCGTATGACATGTAATCTTCGAACTCCAAGGATTCCGTTATCAAATCAAATCAAGACAGCGGAACCCGTGCAAACGAATCAAATTTGCTAGTACACCATATAGCGGAAATTAACATTGGCAATCACACGTTTGCAATTTCGTTCTAAAATTGAGGTTAAACATATCATCAATTTCTAGGTTTTAGCGGTATTTCAAGTACATTTGTAATTAGATTATAATCATTTACATCTAGACACATTTAGCTACAATTGAGGGGATTTTGGTTGTTGGCGAAAGTTCTCGGAGAAATGTTCAAGGTTCAAAGTTCAAGAAAAAGACATACCGTCAATCATCGACAGCCCAGAAAAAGGCCTTGGTAAGCGGTATGATGAGACGCTAGGCAGGGGCGAGTCCAGGTGAGGGCGTAATGGGCGTACGCCCCCCGTTTTAAAAAAACAACAAAAACTATCGTAATCTGCTAATATTGTATTGAATATGGCAATTTATCATATTCATTAATTAAACACATAAACCCCCTGACACTTTAACTATAAAATATACATGCTCCAAGTCAGGAACCGTTACATTAGTGCATTTCACAATTATTTTATCTTTTTTAGCCAAAAAAAGGTCCAATTTCTTTTTCATTCTACGCCCCTCTTTCAAATATACTGTAACAAGCAGAATCGCGTCATCAAGATGACAGAGTGTATTAAGAGGGTTGACAAGACTGGACTCCGTGGAAGTATGAGGCCTTGATCTACCAGCACGGTCTACAACCTAGAATGACTTAGCCACGTATGCTATACAAGATACCACTAACAACGCTGGAGCGGAAAGTCAAGTCTAGTCGAGTCTACGTAGATGGCTATAGGAACCGAAGGGATTCACATCCGTTGGCTTATACAGTCGCACGTCGGAACCACAGTTGACTTTTTATCCCCGGTGGAGAAGCTCAAAGGATCAAAGTGAAGACCAAAGTAATGATCCCCCAGAGACTATCAAGAAAAGAACATTCAAGATCCAGGGATGGCTACAAAAATAGGACGAAAATGGGCAGCAACTGCTACTGTTCAAAAGGCTGAAGACAGGCTTGGAATCAGAGACGTCACTGACAACGTGCGATTGGTCAACAAGGAACAGACAGAAGGGCCGATTTCTAAAAGGCGAGGAAATCAGATGGGAAGGAAAAGAGTAATATGGTATAAGAGGTTAAAAGATTGATAATAGATTTTTTGATAGTAAGTTTTCAAATCATGGGTCATTCTCCTTCTGTCTAATATATTTCTCAAGTGAAGCTATGGTAGGACCGCTTGCGACATCTTCGTGTGGTTTCCAGCTATCATTGGGTGTTAATCCCGCGATCTAACCTCGGCATCCTTTAGCCGGTGGATCCACAGTGGTGATCGGTCACTGTGTCTTGCTGTATTGTCTCCATTTTCTGTCACCTCTACGCTGCCATAGTCAGCATGACGCCCTCTTTCCCTGCTCACCGAGTCTCACCGAGTCTGCATTTAGCTGTTCGTTACAGCGAGTCTGACAACAAGCGCTACAACATAATGTAACGAAAAGTTTAAGATTAGACAGACGAGGCATGCGTCCGTGTCGCTGAATTACAAATACATGTATCAGAAATGCCGGATTCACAACGAGGACAGGAAAAAGGATAAAAATATGATATAGCAGCTCTTCTGTGGAGACAGAGAACATTCCCGACCTACAAGAGGGTGATGTTGATGTCTGCTCAAGAAGACAAGTTGTGTAAACGTCTGGTACCCATTGCTTACTTTGAGATTTAATACATTAGTTATAAGTCGTTATGTTTAATTCCACCCCTGCAGGTGGGGAATCGAGATAAGAATGCACCCGCTGTTACCCACTGCATGTATCGTAGGAGGCGACCAATGTGGGAACCCCCTGTAGAATTGGGGATTTGCTTTGGTGTCATCTATTTGGGGACACAAAAGCGACCAAAATAAATCTACTGAGGCCATTGCAATATTTGAAATCTTTATCTTTCTTTCTACTTCTAGCTACCTTTTATTTCCTAGCGCCTTGCTTGGCAACACCTCACTTTTGGCCTTGATGTTGATTGTTCGCCGAGGTGGGGAAGGCAATGGGTTCTGTCCCCAGGCCGAGACATACCAAAGTCCTTAAAAATGGTAGTTGTAAGGGTAATGGCAACAACTGGTTCACCCGTTATCAGTATAATGTGATCGGGCCGAATGCTGTGCTGGGTACCATCGGCATGGCATTTCATTGAGGTAGCACTATAAAGTCGGCATGGATAAAGACGGAGACAAGTGAAGAAGAGGCGTAGTAAAGACCGAAACCAGGAGGCGATATGTGAACAGCTGTCAGGTAAGGCCAGCCGAGATAAGATATTATGTAGATGAACGGAACACGCAGAGAGGCGATTGCTAGTACTTAAAAAACATAGCAATCGATACAATAGACCAAAAAATCACAGCTGTTCCGTCCATCTAGGATTCATCATTGATGCTGGGGGCCAAACAGATTAAATAGTCTCAACAAATAATGAAACAGAGGGGCAGATGAAAAACCCCTTAATTATGTATTTATCAGATAAACCAATCTGTAAAGTTTGTATATCAAGAACCATGCCACAACTCCGGGGAGAGAAGTGTGGCCATCAAGGTTACAGTCAACCTCGGGGCCTAAGAAATCCACCAGCAGAATGTACCACCTTGTCCGCGAACAAGATCGGCACCAAGCCGGGAGGTACTTGACCCCCGAAACCATCTTCTGCTGCCGTGATCGTTCACGAGGGACATCTTCCAATCGTCATTGGACGTGTTTGAGAGCACAGGGACCTGATAATTTGTTACAGCTATATTTGGACCTAAACTAAGGTGTTTATAGTAAGTTTACATGTTTTAGCAGGCGCGTAGCTGCCTATACGCGAGTACGCAGTTGAATCCACATGATTCTGACAAACAAACAAAAATTCAGCTAAAGTTGCCTTATGCGTACTTGGCTGCATGCTTATATCAAACGTTCCTTGTCGTTTCTATACTAAATAGCCATTGAAGACACCTGCTCAAGAAGATGCCATATTTGATGCATTTCATGACGACTTTAGTGGAGATCGTGAAAGCTTCAGACGTGAATTCGAAAGTTGCCCGGTCTTTGGAAGAAACAAAGCCTTCTGACCTTAGTGCAACATTTACATAAGTCTGGTAGTGTGGCTTATTACCATGCCGGTCTCAACAGTCTCAACTGAGAGGCAGTTCAGTATCATGAGAAGGGTGAAAAACTACATGAGTTCCACTATGTCCACTGAACGTCTGTCTGGACGAGCAATGTTGCATAGTTAGACAAATGGACATTGACATTGAAAATATAATAATACAGTGAGTTCGCTGGCAAAAAGGACAGAAAATTATACTTCTGTTAGATAATCTGGGTATTATTAACATAATCGGGGCTCGTATTTGTTTGCTATTTTAGCTCTATTTAAGAGAAAAAATATGCCCAGTAAAAGGTTTATTTGTTGATTTAAGATCCTAAAACTTTCCATTGTCGAGTACTAAATAAAGCACCTCAGAATGCCCAGAATGCACCAGATTGCACCATTGTTTTTAAAAATGTCCAGGGGGCCAGGCCCCCGGACCCCCCTAGCACAGTTATGAATCCACGTTAATAGAGGCCTAGCTACGCCCTTGGTTTTAGGGGTTTATATCGACTTTCGGTAAAATGACACCCCCAATGATCATATAACCGACATGTTTTAGGGGTTTAGATCCACTTTCGGTAAAAATGACACCCCAATCACAAACATGTAAAATTACTCTGAACACCTTAGTTTAGGTCCAAATATAGCGATAACAAGTTCTCAGGTCCCTGTGTTTGAGAGGACCAGGACGGAGTCACCGAAAGGTGCAGGAAGGTTAGCTGCTGAAAAACACATATCGAGGGATTGTATCATTAAACGTGACTGCCGTCCA